GTTGAGTCACTAGTTCAAACTCCCCTCACCTTTATTTTTTTTAATATTTTATTTATTTATTCATGAGAGACAGAGAGAGAGAGAGAGGCAGAGACACAGGCAGAGGGAGAAGCAGGCTCCATGCAGGGAGCCCGACGTGGGACTCGATCCTGGGTCTCCCAGATCATGCCCTGAGCCAAAGGCAGGCACCAAACTGCTGAGCCACTCAGGGATCCCATCCCCTCACCTTTATTATGACTTTTCTCTCAAGGACCCCCTACTCCTTCCTCCCATCAGTCCTTCATGTCTTTGACTTTCTCTCAAGGACCCCCTACTCCTTCCTCCCGTCAGTCCTTCATGTCTTTGACCTTCTCAAGGACCCCTTCTCCTTCCTCCCGTCAGTCCTTCATGTCTTTGACCTTCTCAAGGACCCCCTTCTCCTTCCTCCCATCATTCCTTCATGTCTTTGACCTTCTCTCAAGGACCCCCTTCTCCTTCCTCCCATCATTCCTTCATGTCTTTGACCTTCTCAAGGACCCCCTTCTCCTTCCTCCCATCAGTCCTTCATGTCTTTGACCTTCTCAAGGACCCCCCAGTCCTTCCTCCCATCAGTCCTTCATGTCTTTGACCTTCTCTCAAGGACCCCCTACTCCTTCCTCCCATCAGTCCTTCATGTCTTTGACCTTCTCAAGGACCCCCTAGTCCTTCCTCCCGTCAGTCCTTCATGTCTTTGACCTTCTCTCAAGGACCCCCTACTCCTTCCTCCCGTCAGTCCTTCATGTCTTTGACCTTCTCTCAAGGACCCCCTTCTCCTTCCTCCCATCATTCCTTCATGTCTTTGACCTTCTCTCAAGGACCCCCTTCTCCTTCCTCCCATCATTCCTTCATGTCTTTGACCTTCTCAAGGACCCCCTTCTCCTTCCTCCCATCATTCCTTCATGTCTTTGACCTTCTCTCAAGGACCCCCTTCTCCTTCCTCCCATCATTCCTTCATGTCTTTGACCTTCTCAAGGACCCCCTTCTCCTTCCTCCCATCAGTCCTTCATGTCTTTGACCTTCTCAAGGACCCCCCAGTCCTTCCTCCCATCAGTCCTTCATGTCTTTGACCTTCTCTCAAGGACCCCCTACTCCTTCCTCCCATCAGTCCTTCATGTCTTTGACCTTCTCAAGGACCCCCTAGTCCTTCCTCCCGTCAGTCCTTCATGTCTTTGACCTTCTCTCAAGGACCCCCTACTCCTTCCTCCCGTCAGTCCTTCATGTCTTTGACCTTCTCTCAAGGACCCCCTACTCCTTCCTCCCGTCAGTCCTTCATGTCTTTGACCTTCTCAAGGACCCCCTACTCCTTCCTCCCATCATTCCTTCATGTCTTTGACCTTCTCTCAAGGACCCCCTACTCCTTCCTCCCGTCAGTCCTTCATGTCTTTGACCTTCTCTCAAGGACCCCCTTCTCCTTCCTCCCATCATTCCTTCATGTCTTTGACCTTCTCAAGGACCCCCTTCTCCTTCCTCCCATCATTCCTTCATGTCTTTGACCATTCCTTCAGTGAGGGCCACGGCAGTTCCTTAGGCTTCTTCCAGACCCACTAGGAGGAGATTGGAGTATCTACTTCTTTTCTTCCAAAATGTTTCTTCACTCAGATTGGAAAGGGATATTTTTTAGGGAGGGTGACATCTTTCTTCTCTAGTCCACAAAGACTAAGCCCAAGGCCTGGCCCAGCCAAAAAACATCCCATTACACATACCCTGTTAGCTGTTGCAGTTAAAAGAAAGCAAAGAGTGACAAGTCTAAGAATACTTGCTGGCCATCTGAGCAGCGCCTCTCAGAACAGCGAGGGACCCCTCAAGGACCCTTTCTCCCATCAGTCCTTCATGTCTTTGACCTTCTCTCAAGGATCCCTTGAGGAGTAGGGGTCCTTGAGAAAAGGTCAAGGACCCGAGACTCACTCAGTCTCGGATAGGGACTGTTGGCATGAAGTGAGCTGGGTAACCACAGCCTACAGTCCGGCCCTCAGCTTTGCAAACTCACAAACTAAGCATTATCACCATCCCTGGCGATTGATTTGATTCGAAAGAACCCAGCTCACAGGAGGCAGATGCATAAACTAGTGTCACTACCACGTGCGCAAGAATAGTTTTGAGCACAGGCCAGGAAATTCTCTCTTAAAGGAACATCTATCCAGAAACCAAATAACAATCAGAAGGCTGCAGGATGAATATGGACGAATCGCAAAACAGGTAGCTAGAGCTAAGGAGTATTTCACTTGGGTCCTGGTGAGACCAGGAAAAAATATCTTTGCCCCATGAGAATGCCAATCTCTAGTTACTGAAATATTCATACCCAGTAGGCCTGGAGTGCTAACTATCAAATTCTTGCTCTCTGACTACTCTTGTTGCCCATCTCCCACATTCTCTCTTCAGCCTGTACAATTAATTAGATTTAAAGGTTTTTAATTACAGTCACATTCCAAAGAAAGACTTCTTGGACTTTACACATCCAAATCAGATGACTAGAGTGAACTGTTGTTTTCACATAAAGAAACATGTCACCGACGATCTTCAGTTCAGTGGGGGGTTCAGTGTTATCTGCTTACTTTATTTTTCAAGACCCTGTGGGTACCCCCCTGCTCACTGCAGTTCCCTATGGACTGCACTAACTTTTCCCATTAAGTAAACAAACACATATTTTATTTTATTTATTTTTTTATGGTAGTTGTATTTTTAATTTTTCAAGGAGCCTCCATACTGTTTTCCATACTGGCTGCACCAGTTTACGTTCCCACCAGTGACGCACCATGGTTCTCTTGTTGCCACGTACTTGTTATTTCTTGTCTATTTGGTAGTAGCCATTCTGACAAATAGAAGGTGGTAGCTCCGGGCAGCCCGGGTGGCCCAGCGGTTTATTTATTTATTTTTATTTTTTTATTTTTTTAAAGGAAAGGGTTTTTTTTTTTAAATTTTTTTAAATTTATTTATGATAGTCACACACACACACACAGAGAGAGAGAGAGAGAGAGAGAGAGGCAGAGACACAGGCAGAGGGAGAAGCAGGCTCCATGCACCGGGAGCCCGATGTGGGATTCGATCCCGGGTCTCCAGGATCCCGCCCTGGGCCAAAGGCAGGCGCCAAACCGCTGCACCACCCAGGGATCCCGGCCCAGCGGTTTAGCACCACCTTCAGCCCAGGGCGTGATCCCGTGGTCCCGGGATCGAGCCCTGCACTGGGCTCCCTGCATGGAGCCTGCTTATCCCTCTGCCTGTGTCTCTGCCTTTCTCTCTGTGTCTCTCATGAGTAAATAAATAGAATCTTAAAAAAAAAAAAAAGAAGGTGGTATCTCATTATTGATTTGCATTTTCCTAATGATGAGCGATGTTGAGCATCTTCAGTGTAGCCATCTGTACGTCTCTTTTGGAAAAATGTCTCTTCAGTCCCTCTGCCAATTTTTATTTATTTACTTTTGTATATATTTTTTTTATTGGAGTTCGACAACATAGAGCATAACACCCAGTGCTCCTCCCGGCAAGTGCCCCCCCTTAAGTGCCCGTCACCCAGTCACCCCGTCCCCCTGCCCACCTCCCTTTCCACCACCCCTTGTTCCTTTCCCAGAGTCAAGAGTCTCTCATGTCCTGTCTCCCTTTCTGATATTTCCCACTCATTGTCTCTCCTTTCCCCTATGATCCCTTTTACTATTTTTTATATTCCCCAAATGAATGAGACCACATAATATTTGTCCTTCTCCGACTGATTGACTTCACTCAGAATAATACCCTCCAGTTCCATCCACGCCGAAGCAAACGGTGGGTATTCACCCCTCCTGATGGCTGAGGAATACTCCATTGCAAACATATATTTTAAAGTCAATCTCAAAAGTAAGGAACGGAGGAGAGTTCCTTCAGCGGACATCCCGTGACCGAGGTTTTGTTGACTGTCAGGTAAAAGAGGTCGGTGGTTCCCATCCTTCTGGCCTCCTCTTTTCTGAGCCAAACGCCCACCCAGCACATCTTCTGGTGATGTCTTTTGGAGCATGGCCTGGAGGAGGGTCTGTGGTCCTCATCCCTTCGATGGAGGGCCCCAAACCGGTCACAGCACTCAAAGGTGGCCCAGGTAAGTCCAGTTGGAAAGCATTCATGGGGATCCCCGGGGGGGCTCAGCGGGTGAGCATCTGCCTGCGGCCTAGGTCGTGACCTCGGGGTCACCCATCAGGTCCCACGCCGGGCTCCACGCACGGAGCCTGCTTCTCCGGCCTCTCTATGTGTCTCGTGAATAAATAATTAAAATCTTTAAAAAAAAAAAGGGGGGGGATCCCTGGGTGGCTCAGCGGCTTAGCGCCTGCCTTTGGCCCAGGCCGTGACCCCGGGGTCCTGGAATCGAATCCCGCGTCGGGCTCCCTGCATGGAGCCTGCTTCTCCCTCTGCCTGGGTCTCTGCCTCTCTCTCTCTCTCTCGTTGTCTATCATAAATAAATAAATAGATAAATAAATAAATAAACAAAATCTTTTTTAAAAAATCTTAAAAAAAAAAAAAAAGCATTTATGGAAGGTCCGCGCTGTGACCGAGGGCCTGACACCGGCTGCCCGGCTCCGGCTCCGGCTCCCGCTCCGCCGAGTTGGTGACACCTTCAGAAATCACAGCGAATTAGCGGAGATTAATTCCCAGGTAGCAGCCAAGGTGGTGTAAAAAAAATAAAAAAATAATAAAAAAAAAATTAAAATTAAAAGACAAGCACTTAGGAAGTCTGGTGAGCCCTAGCGGAATGCCGCGCGGCTCATCTCATCTCAGCCCGAGTCCGGGCCGCCCGGACCCCAGGCCACCGGGTCGCCCCTGGGTCGCGCGGCCCAAGCCCGGAGCCCAGACCCGCAGCCTCGGGAGCGGGGGTGGGGGTGGGGGACCTGGGCGGGGCCAGCTCTGCCCGCAGCGTCGCTGCCCCGCCCCCTCGCTGCTCCCATTGGTTGCAGGGAAAAACGTCAAGCCAATCCACACACACTGTAGCGCCCTCCTCTGAGGTCACTTCCGCCGCCGGGGTCAGGCTCCGCCCAGCTGGCCCGGCATCCCTCGCGCCGGCAGAGTCAAGATGGAGGAGTACGCGAGGGAGCCCTGGTGAGCCTCCCCCGCGCGCTTGCCTTGCGCCCGCCCTGTGGGCCGGTGGTGCCGGGTCCCCGCCGTCGGGGGCCGGGACGTGCCGGGTGGCCGCCAGCAGCCGCGCTGGCGACCTTGCTTCGGGCGCGGGGCTCGCCGGGGCGCCCCAGTGCCCGCCGCGGGGGAGGGGTCCGTGGGCCTCGCAAGGCCGTCCTCGGGGCCGTGCTGGGGCCTCGCAGAGGCTCCCCCGGGGGCGGAGCTTGGGGCCCTCCCTTGGGGCCTACCTGCGGGGCAGAAGGCGCTGCGGGCGGGAATCCGTGCACCGGTTCAGTGTCGGGCCAGGCCCCCGTGCTCGCCGCTTTACAGGTTCCAGGCGTGGAAGCCTGATGGGCTCCCCCAGGGCGTGACCCCGGCGTCCTGGGTTCGAGTCCTGCGTGGGCGCCTGCGTCCCCCTCTGCCCGTGTCGCTGCCCCTCCCCCCCGCCGTGTCTCTCATGGATAAATACATAAAATCTTAAAAAATAGTAATAGTTCCCGAAGCTCGCAGTTGCTGTCAGAAGTCTCAGGTTGTCCAGATTTAAGGTCTCCCGGGGGGGGGCGGGCGGGGACGGGGCGTAAGAGAGAAATCAGGTCTTGCTGTTTGGGTTAACCGCCTGGGTTATGGTGTTAGCGCAAAAGCCGAGATGCCCTCAACCTGTGAAAGTGCCCAGGACCTGACCATCGGCAGCCATGTTACCTGCCTTGTGCCCTTTTTTAAAGATTTCACTTATTTATTCATGAGAGAGACACAGAGAGAGAGAGAGGCAGAGACACAGGCAGAGGGAGAAGCAGGCCCCATGCAGGGAGCCCCACGTGGGACTCGACCCCGGGTCTCCAGGATCACGCCCTGGGCCCAAGGCAGGTGCCAAACCGCTGAGCCACCCAGGCTGTCCCCCCCCCCCTTTTTTTTTTAAATCCCTCAAACGGGCTGCAGCACATGTTTCAGCACCTTCTGGCTCTTTAGAATCACCAAATGTAACGATCTCCTCCCAAATCAGTGCTTACATACGCAGAATTCGTCTCGCTGTAGGCTTGTCATCAGCTGCTGTTGGATGTGACATAATGACACAGGCAGGCAGGAGGCTGGATTTTTTTTTTTTTTTTCCATTTATTCTGTGCAGAATTTACTCCCGGGGCCGTAAGTTTTTGTTTCTTCAGTTTCTTCTGGGATATCTTTTTCTTCTGTGCAACCTCCTCTTCTGGTTTAGGAACAATCTGCTCTTTTTCAGTAAGAATCCTCTCGATGTGGCAGGGAGAGCCCATGTATGGGTTAATCCGGCCGTGAGCCCTGCAGGTTCTGCGTCGCATCTTGGGGGCTTTGTTCAGCTGGATGTGCTCAATGACCAGAGAATCTACATCTAAACCCTTAAGTTCGGCATTACACTCCGCATTTTTAAGCATGTGCAGTAAAACTTCAGCACTCTTCTTGGGCCACCGACCCTGTGTCCAGCCCCACTGTTTGGCCTGCGCACACCTACCAACTCCACCGTTGTAGCGACGGAATGGCACACGCTGCTTCTGCAAAGTGACATCTTTCAGATGCTTGGTGGCTTTTCGAATATGCATACCCTTGATGGCTTGGGCAGTTTCACGTGTGTTCTTAAAGTGAACACGAAGGTTTGAACCTCTCAACTTGCATGATTTTGTAGGGTTTTTTGGGTCCAGCAAGTAGCGAACCATCTCCAGAGGTCACCTCAGGCCGCTCAGAGGAAGAGGAAGCGAGGCTGAATTTTTTTGACTTTGTTGAGTTAAAGATGTTATAAGAATAATGAGCTTTCATCCACTGATGAGGTGGTCCCTTTCTCTGAGTACGTATGTCCTGAAGCAATACAGTCAATTGTCTGGTTGGTTTTGTAGTCAAAACTGCTTTAATCTTCTGCACTGCCCTGTTTGGTAAGAGCGTTTTCTCAAGTCCACCAGCCTCAAACTACAAGCATCTCTTTCCTCCCCGCACACCCCCCACCTCTAAACAGGTACACCATATGCGTATTGTCACTATCTTACATGACATCCTTAATGCCTTTTATAATAGCTTTCCAATTGCTGTCCTTCCCTCCAGCCCACTTTAATACATCATATGGACTTAATCTTTCTAAATACTTCCTTTTAGGGGCGTCTGGGTGGCTCAGTCAGGTTTGTCTTTGGCTCAGGTCATGATCCCAGGGTCCAGGACTGAGCCCCATGGTATCCTGGGGCTCCCTGCTAAGTGAGGAATCTGCTTCTCCCTCTCCCTCTCCGCCTCCCCGTTTGTGCGTGCTCTCTCAGATAAATGAAAAAAATCTTTTAAAAAAATAAATACTTTCTCTTACCATATGTTTCTTTTAAAAAACCCACAGTCTGTGTGACCTAATGGGAAGGATTTGGAGCTTTGGAGTCCTAGATTTTCTATTTAAATTGTACTAATTACAGGGCAGTCCCGGTGGCGCAGTGGTTTAGTGCTGCCTGCAGCCTGGGGTGTGATCCGGGAGACCCGGGATTGAGTCCCACGTCAGGCTCCCTGCATGGAGCCTGCTTCTCCCTCTGCCTGTGTCTCTGCCTCTCTCTCTCTGTGTGTCTCTCATGAATAAATAAAATTAAAAAATTAAAAAAAATTGTGCTGATTACTACCTCTATGATCTTGGGCGAATTAATCTGTCAGAGCCTCTACTCGTGTAAAATGGAGGAGACAGGAATACCCTTTTTTGCAAAGTTAAAAGCTTAGAGATTCTATCAGAGAATAACCTAATTTTCTTGAAAATCAGGTCTTGTTTGAATGAAGGCACCTAAAACATAGTTCATACTTAATAAATGATAACTTAATTGCATTGTTACTTGTTCTCTGTTACTTGTATTTGTCTAGTATTTCCATTCTTTTAGAGTCTAGCTTCAACCTTTTGTGTAGCTCATTACTTCTCTGCAGGAACATTTTGATTTAGCCAGAGTTTGTGCAGAAACTGTTTCCGTCTTGCCTTTACTTTGGACATCTCTCTTGGAATACTCTGGCTGTCTTCTGATCTGCATCCTGTTGTTCTTTACCGATTTTTTAAATCCCGAACTAATAAGATCGTGTGGACTAGATCTTTTAGTTACTGGCCCACCACTCAGAGGGAGTCGCTAATTCATTTCCTGTGTTTTATATTTCCTTTTAGTGTTTCTACCATTTTAAAGAAATTTTCCTAATCCTTTTTAGTCTCTAAGCTCTGCTGCTTAAACTGTTAAAGTGAAATCAAGTCACCTTGAACTATAGACTCTGATTCAGTAGGTTCTGGGTAAAGTCTGGAGAGTCTGCAGGTCGGTCAAACTGAGGTGTTTCGGATTCTGCTTTTAAGCTCATAAAGCAGGCCTTGCTATCAGCAAGGCCCCAAAGCATCCTGCTGACATTTGGAGTATGTGCATAAGATACTCCGTACAAGTCATTCCTCATTTGTATTATACTTGAGTATGTTTTGACTGCAAGGTTTTGTATTCCTATCCACCAAAATCAGAAACTACTCATTCAAATTCTCCAGCAGCAATTACACTGAATTCACATGTTTACTTGAGCGAGTAGCTTGCTCATAGGCTCATTATATAGTGTTTGACCCTTGAGACTAGATCAAAGAAATAGCTTTTATTTGTAGTGGGTTTAAAATGAAATTAACCATTGACAAACTTTCTTTAAACCAGATTCCTAGAATAGTAGTTCTGTTATGGTCACATTATTCAGATTTCATTGTGTTGTACGGTTAGGTTGCTGCATTTGCAAGCTGGGTTTACAATTATTGGAGAATAGAGTATTCCAGTGTGTTAAATGGACCTAATACAAACTAAAATTCTAAGTCCTAACTGGGACTTAGTAAACACGGGAAGAATTTCAGATTTCAAAAAATTATTAAATTTGTCTCCCCCGTCCTTGTTGAATCTTCATTTTTGGGAGTCTCAACTTTAAATTTTACTGTAGCTGGAGAGCTTACTTTGATCTTTGGAGATTGGATCAACATTGATTATAACATAATTTCTACATTTGTTTATTTGCTTTTGTGCAATGCCCAACTGTTAGTGAATGCACTGATTTTTAAATGAAAATTAAGTACTGTTAACATTAGGGAGTTAAAGCCAGTTCCATTCCTTATGGTTTAGAGCTGAATAGATACGGATACATTCAGAATCCTTTTTCTTTGTCTAAATGTTTATTTTATTGGTTGCAGTGGGCCCTGAATTGGAATCTGTTGCATTCCTTACTGTATTAACAAAGAAAATTTTACAGTTTATGGATGAAAAATGCAGTCATCTCTTTCTCTCTCTTTCTTTTCCCCTGTTCTTAGCCCTTGGCGAATTGTGGATGATTGTGGTGGGGCCTTTACGATGGGTACCATAGGTGGTGGTATCTTTCAAGCAATCAAAGGTTTTCGCAATTCTCCAGCGGTAAGTAGGTGAATGGTCGTATTTTACCATCACTTGAAATCTGGATTTGGTAATATCACTGGTGACCATATCATTGGGCTGGAAATGTATTGTACTTCTACTATTTTTCGTTGCTTTTCTATAGGGAGTAAACCACAGGCTACGAGGGAGTTTAACAGCTATTAAAACCAGGGCTCCACAGTTGGGAGGTAAGCAGAATTTTTCCATTTGTACTTCAGACTATCTTCTCTTATTTGTTTGAAGATGAAGCTCTGTTTTTTTTTTTTTTCTTTTTTAGCTTATACCAATAAGTGATTTTAGTTCAGTCTAACAGCTTATTAGAAATTACTGTCTCTGTAAGATCTTCTTGATGTATGGTTTATTCAGAAAGTTAACTGGAACTGCTACATCGATTCATTTGAAACTTTCATCTCTGTCCTTCCAACACTCGGTGGTATTTTTGTTTTGTTTTGTTTTTGTTCTCTCCTCTTATCCAAAAAGAAGATAGTGTGTTTAAAGCTTAGGTTTGTGAGAGTCAGGAGTGATAGTTTCTGGGGTAATATAAAGCTGAAGAGAATGTGATCTGAAGGATTGGCATTTCATGAGACAGAAACTGATGCTGCTGCTCAGGCTTCTCTCCAAGTTTAGGTTTTATGTTGTGCAGAGATCAATAAAAATTTGAAAAGAATTCATGACACTTTTTAAACTTGGTTACTTAGAAGTTGGGAGAAGAGAGATGATAAAAAAGCTTGGAGGCTATGTTCATTTACAGAGATACAGTCAGATTGGAGACACCATGTAGAACACATGAAAAAGACTAAGTACTTTTAGTCATCTCCTAGTAAATTTATGTCAGAAGAAATAGTCCTTTTTTTTTTTTTCCTGTCTTTGTTTTTAGCATATTTTTCTTTGGAAGACTAGCTAAGGGTTGCCATTTATCGAATGCTTGCTATGTGCTAAGCACTCTCCTAAGGGTTTTACAGCTTTATTTTAATCCTTAGAATAACACATGAGGTAAGTATTATTATCTCCATTTTCCAGATGAGGAAATTGAAGCTCTGAGAGCTGAAGTGATGGTATATCGTTTTCCTTTTATTTCCTCCATAATAATTATACCCCTTGGAAGGTAAACAGTGACTGATTTTCCTTTGCTTTAATGGTTACCATGTTGTTCAAGAATGATAAGTAGTATCAAAGCACATGTCAAATCCTGAATGCCCAATAGAAGCAGAAGTCATTCAAATTTTTATATGTCTTTTAAGAGGCTGCTTCTATCATAATAGGATTTTTCAGTGGATTAAAAAACCAACCAGGTAATGTCACAGCTAAGAGGAGCCTAAGGAGACATGACCACTAAATGTAATTTGGTATCCTGGAACAGAAAAAGGTCATAAAAACTAAAGAAATCTGAATTAAGTGTGGACTTCACTTAATACTGTATTGATTTTGCGTCATTAATTGTGCAAATGCACCATGGAAATGTAAGATGTTTAGAAATTGGTGAAACTGGATGTGGGATATAGGGGAATTTTGTACTATCTTCACAGCTTTTCTGTGACTCTAAAACTATTCTAAAATAATCAGGGTGAAATAGAAGAGTAAGTTGTGGTATGAGTGAATTGGGATCATTTATTTCAAATCCTTGGAATTGGCTTTTTTTAAGGAAACCATTGAGAAATCTTTATGGTGTCTTTTTAAAAAATACTGGGGTATCTTTAAAAAGGTGTGTGTGGGGGGCACCTGGGTGGCTTAGTTGGTTAGGCACCTGACTTTGGCTCAGATCATGATCTCACGGTTCTGGGATCCGACCCTACATTGGGATCCCTGCTTAGTGGGGAGTCTGCTTCTGCCTCTGCCCCTCCCCTCTTCTGCTCCTGTTTTCTCTCCGCTTTCTCTTTCTCAAGTAAATAAATAAAATCTTTAAAAATAAATGAACAAAAATAAAAATACTGGGATGACATTTTCAGTTTAATTCACTGAACATTTATGAGCTTTTCCAGTAAAAATCCAAGGGACAGGCAGCATCAAAAAATCATAGTTGTATCCTGAAGAGTCTTATATTTTCATAGGGGAAATTTCATGGGGGCTTTGGACACATACTCATTATTCTTCAAGCATCTTTTGCATTTTGGAACAAGATATTCCAGGCTCACCTGGTACTTTCCCTGCCCCAGCCACAGAGTCAGCTATTTCTCCAAAGAGCTGTGGTTCCTTTTAGTTGAGAATAGTATTTAGAAGCCAAAATCTGGGCACGAAGTGTATCGTTGCTATTGGGGTGTTGCTGTTCCCAGACCTTTGTAATAGAGCTAACCACAACATAAACATGTATACCCACATTTATATCTGTATTTATACATACATGTTAAAAATCATGAGCTCACATCAAGACCTCAGTTCCCAGTCTAGCCTCATAGGGTTTATTCTTACCTTCTCCCTTTTTATATGAATACCTCCATCCTTGTCCTGCTTGGGCTGTGGCACCCTATGCCAGGCCGCCCCTTTCACATGGATGCATTCAACTCAGTGCCAGGCTGTCCTTCCTTGAGAACCCTTCTTACCCTGCTTGGACTCAAACTGATTCTCATCAGTAACCAGAGCTTACTCTGGCAGTTCTTCTTGGAGGATGGGCAGGTTTCAGACTTGTGAGGGAGTGGGAGAGTCTTGTTAGAGGAATTTAGTGAGGTAATTCTAATATACCTGGGCATCAGATATCTCCCAGGGCATAGATTTACTGAGTTAGAGGAAAGAACTAGTTTATTTTTATGTAGTATGTGGTATCTAGTATTGGAGCAGAAACGAGGGCTTATGCTGTACTTTAATTGGTTATATCTACTAGATTTAATGGATATGTGAGAACTGGCAAAGGATTCTGGTGATGATCTGGTTTTGACATTTAGTGGAACCCAATGTGCTGCCCTTACTAACATATCCCTACTATTTTGAGATTTCAGGGGGTAAAGAATAAAGTGACTAGGGCTCTTCTGGGCAATTTTTCTATAATCATAATAAGTATAACAACTCTTTATACTGTGCAGGTTGTGTGCACTCATGATAGAGGGCTTGGATAATAAAGCAGGCGTGAATAAATGGAAGTGCTGTGTCACGTCACCCAGAAATGGTGACGATTAAAATCTTGAGGTTGTTTTTCTACATTTTGTGTGTACTTGTATAAGTGTATGTTTGGGTGTTTTTTATTTGACAAAATTGTTAATGTGTTTATTTTTATTTTTTTGTTTTTTTGTTTTTTTGTTTTTTTTTGTTAATGTGTTTAGAGGAGTTTAAGTGCCAAATAATTTGATTTAGTGTCTAGTTTCATACTCGAGGAATAAAGGATAGAAAGAAGAGAGGAAAGGTAATTTCTCTCCCCTTGATGTTCCATAATTCTATTTGTATCATCTGTTAGCCACTTTAGCACATATTGGCTTACACCTAAAATACATTCTAGGACAGCTGGATTTTTTTTGTATCCCTGTTGATTTTCAGAGTGTATATAGCTTAGTGACACTTAATGGAAAAAAGAAGAATAGAGATAAGGTAGAGCTATAAAAGAAAAGGAGACAGAGGGAAGAAGTAGGGTGGCTTTGTTGTGTTTATTTCTTTTTAAACAGAGATACTTGGTTCTGAAAGGGAGATTTGTATTTAGCCTGACTCTTCTAGGCCTGGCTTATTTCTTTTAGGCTTTGGGCCATTGCTAATTTTCCAGCTGATATAATACAACCCACGCTTTATTGAAAAGATAAGTATCCTGACTTTTGTTCAGTGCTTATCCAATTTTGTGTTTGCATGTGTTTGTTTGGAGTGTGGGAGTTTTAAAAACATAGAGTTGTTATTTAAAGTTATTTTTAGCTGTAATATTTTAAATATAAGATGAAAAAAATGAAATTTCTTTTGTTTTTAAATAAAATAGGTAGCTTTGCAGTTTGGGGAGGTTTATTTTCCATGATTGACTGCAGTATGGTTCAAGTCAGAGGGAAAGAAGATCCATGGAACTCCATCACAAGTGGTGCCTTAACAGGAGCCATACTGGCAGCAAGAAGTAAGCCATCATTACAAACTAGTAGAAGCAAGACTTTTTGGAAAACCTTATCTGTCTTAACTTAGTGATATCTGTAATACATAAAACTGAGCACTGTTTAATTTAGTATAGCATGAATGTATATGGTGATTTGGGGGAAAAATAAGAGTATTCATTTGGAATGTTTGAGAATGAGAGAAATAAAAAAAAAAAAAAAAAAAGAGATCCCTGGGTGGCGCAGCGGTTTGGCGCCTGCCTTTGGCCCGGGGCACGATCCTGGAGACCCGGGATCGAATCCCACATCGGGCTCCCGGTGCATGGAGCCTGCTTCTCCCTCTGCCTGTGTCTCTGCCTCTCTCTCTCTCTCTCTGTGACTATCATAAATAAATAAATAAATGAATGAATAAATGAATAACTAAATAAATAACTAAATAACTAAATAAAAGAGAATGAGAGAACATGGGGTTCTGATCTATACAGTGGTTAAGAGCAGTTCAGGTTCAGGTTCTGCCATTTACTAGTGTGTGACTGGGCAGTTTGCCAAATTTTTTGTGTCATAGTTTCCTCATTGGTACTCTGGAGTTAATAATCGTACCTGCCATGTAGCATTGTTATGAGTAAAGAGCTTAGAATCACCTTCTGGATCTCTGGGACAGAAAGCAATCCAGAATTTTGGGGGAATTTAGTGGTTTAGGCCAAGGATCAGCAAACTTTTTCTGTAAAGGGCCAGATGGTAAGTATTTAAGACTTTCTGGACTGTGAGGTCTTTGTCAGATACTCAGCTTTACAACTGTAACATGAAAGCAGCCATAGATTATATGTAGAAGAATGAGCATGACTGTGCTAATAAGACTTCACATAAACAGACAGTGGGCTGCATTTGACCCAAGGGCCTTAGTTTGTTGACACCTGGTTTTAGTCACTGAGAAAGAGGTTTGGGAACGTGGGATGTAGCCCATGTAACGTATGGACAGCTGTTTACTAAGTCTTTTATTAAACTAGTTTTCTACTAAAGTAATCTCTTTGTTATTAATGTATTCAGATGGACCAGTGGCTATGGTTGGGTCAGCTGCGATGGGTGGCATTCTCCTAGCTTTAATTGAAGGAGCTGGTATCTTGTTGACAAGATTTGCCTCTGCACAGTTTCCCAATGGTGAGTCTTCCTGTTTACTACCATATCTCAAACACTGGAATGCCCTCTTGATGTTTAGAGAAAACCTGTCTTTCTCTAAAACGTGGTGGTTTGTGATTTCTACATTTGCCATGGTTTATGAGGGTTATGATAATAGGCCCTGATTCTATTTGAAAAGGCGGATGTGGATACAATTATTGTGTTTAACCACAGTAACCAAAATGCTTTGGTTAGATAGTTTGCTATTGATCTTTCTTACAGTTCTTAGGTTTTGCCAGTGCTCATGTGCTTATTCTAAGAAATTACCAGTTATTTTAGAGGGGCTTGAAAAAGATCGATCCTTGCAGATGTGTACAATAATGGTAGTCCGTCAGCAACCTCTTAACTATACATGTATGTGCCAGGCACTGGTCAGGATGCTGGGATATAGTGGTAAATAAGGACTTTAATTCCTGTGGGAGAAGACCACCTGACATGTTAACAGATAAATGAGATTTCATTGTGTTGCTTGCTTTGGAGAGAATGAAATAGAGTGGAAGAAAGTGGCTATGTTTGAGAAATCACTAGGGTTGGCAGGGAAATTTTTTTGAGAAGTTGGTAAAATAATTTGTTGCTAATTGTTCCTCTTAACCGATGTATAGGGAAAAGTTAAATTGTGGGCAAGGTGTTCATTACATGGTCATGAAATACCTGCTCAGCTGTTAAATTGTGCACCTTCTGGTAACTGCAGAAAACTTCTGTTGCCTGTAAAGAGCCAACATTCCCTTTGTCTATAGAGGGACAGTATTCCTTGATATTGGAAGGAAGCAGAAAGATAATCATGAAGATTTTAATAGGAAAAATTTGACCCGGCATTTGGGGAAGGAAATATGCAGAATAGCGACACACGTTGAAAATTATTTTTGGAGCTTGGAAAAGATTCAGCATAGAGTTAGGAATAGATCATAGCTCCTAGTTTGATATGATTTCCCTGAGGCACCTAGCAAGAGATTCAGTGTCTTTTTGGCACAGTTGTCAAACACACTGCTCAGTAGATGCCAGGGATGATCTAGGGACCTCCTGGATCCTCTCAACTTCTGTTCCTATTTTTTGATCATTTAATAATCTTCTGAGTTAATAATCTTATGATGTGCATTTTCTAATTTTGCTTTTTAATTTGTTTGTACCACTTTCCTGTAGAAGATTTCACATAAAACATCAGAAAAGTTTCATTTTTCCAGAAATTCAGAGACTGATATAACAAAAACACGAGTTACATTGCCTTTTTAACTTTTTTTTTTTTTTAAAGTAGGTTCTTTGCCAAGCTTGGGGCTTGAACTCATGACCCCAAGGTCAATCATGTTCTACTGACTGAGCTAGCCAGGCACCCAAGTTATATTGTCTTGTAGAAATTAGTCTTGATTATTTTGCTTTAGCATTTTTTCCTAGAGAAAAATCTTTAAAAGATAGTGCATTTTATTTGAGACAGGAGATGTGTTTCTGAAAAGCTGTGTTGGGGAGAAATCTTTCAAGAGTTCAACTATTTTTCTAGTCGACATGAAAAAGTTTTTAAAAATGAAAAAAATGAGGTAAAACTGTACCTAAGTAATAAAGGTTATCTTCAGTTTACCTGTTTCACCCAGTATTTTCTCTAGTTTTCTGAAAAGAACAGATAATGCTTTTGTAGTGGAAAAAAAAAATCATTGGATTGAAGCATTGGAAAGCTTCGGGGAATTTTACCACTGCCTTCTTTCTCTCTTTACAGTTATGTTTTAGTCTGCTTTAGTTTCCTTGAGGAAAATAGTTGTGATTATTCCAATAAAAGTCTTTTTTTTTTTTTTAAAGAACCACATGTTTTTTTTGGAGCGCCTGGGTGGCTTAGTCAGTTAAGCATCCAACTCTTGGTTTCAGTTCCGGTCTTGATCTCTGGGTTATGAGATTGAGCCCCATGTCCATCTCCTTGCCCAGCCCAGAGTCTGCTTAAGTCTCTCTCTCTCTCTCTCTCTCTCCCACTCCCTCCACTCCCTGCCCCACTCACTCTCTCTTTCAAATAAATAAATCTTTTTAATAAAAAAAGCTTTTTTTTTTATTAGTTTACAGGCCCTCTCATCCTTTGAAAACTAAAAATTACAAGACTTCGTTCTACAGCAAGCTAGGGGATGTCTTCCCTTTTCAGAGTTCATTCTCTATTTAATTGGCTGTATAAACTGGATTACTGATTTCTCTTAAAACATGACTAAGGTACTTTAACTTTGTGAAAATAATTTTAAATAGCTACTGAAAAATATGTCAAGAGGTGTGAGATTCTTCTCATCTTTGTAGCAGCTTGTTACAGCAATTATTTTAAAAACTTGCATTCACTTCTTGCTATAATTAATCCATCTGACTTTCCTGGCATAACAGTGGAGAGCTGTTCATTCTGGAGCATAAGGGAAGCCAGGCTGTCATGTTCTACCAAATTTGGAGGCACTCTCATGAGAATTAGGCCGTAGAGATTTCAGAGGGCAGCGCTAAGGTAGCAAGCATGTTATTTTTATTGAGTTGACTGATATACTCTCTACAAAGACTTGTTCTTTTTCATTGTAATATTCAGGTGGTTTTTAAGATGCTTTTCTTTCTTAATTGCAGGTCCTCAGTTTGCTGAAGACCCCTCTCAGTTGCCTTCAGCCCAGTTACCATCCTCACCTTTTGGAGACTATCGACAATACCAATAGGACTTCTTTCCCAGGATTTCTTTAACAGAATGAGCTGTAGTTCAAGAAGGAATTTCAGAAGATAAGTTACAGTCTGTTTTTAAAACCATAGGTGGGACAGCTATAGCCAAATAGGCTTTGAAGAGACACTTAGCTCTTTTTTCTATTTAAAAGAACATTGGGGGGGGGAATGTTAAAAGACAATACATTTATTTATTCACATGTGGATTGCATTTGTGATAAAAATAAATGTCTAATATCTGTAAAAGAAAATATAATAAATGTTTAGAAGATGAAGGACCAAAGGGCAAATGAAGAGTGACCATCATTTCCTTGGGGATTTCTCTGCCTGGTTTTGTGTGTCCTGTCAAACAATAAAAAACTAGAACTTACTCTTTCTTTTAAGAGAAGTTATAGAGTTCTACTCTTCATCCTCAAATATTCAAACAATGCAAAGTTGAATGTTGAATATTGCATGTTTTATAGTTGGGCTCTCGTCTCACTTGAAGTAAAATATGTATGAGAAGAATTATGCAGAGTTAACATGGATCATTTCTCAGTAAACACTTTATGGATTGAGGGTTAAAATACCCTTTACTTTGAAAGTAAAATATGGTATTTCTTGGTTTTGAAGATGTCAGATGTAAAACTTTCTTTACCTTTGAGGCTCCTGTGTCTTTCTTTTTTCTTTTTTTTTTTTTTTAAGGTTTTACTTATTTATTTAGAGAGCCAGGGGGTAGAGGCAGAAGGAGAGGGAGAGAGAATCCCAAGCAGACTCTGTGCTGAGCATGGAGCCCAACACGGGGCTCGATTCCACAACCCTGAGATCATGACCCAAGCTGAAATCAAGAGTCAGACGCTCAGTCAACTGAGCCACCCAGGCACCCCTCCTGTGTCTTGGTTCTTGATCATCACCATCCTCACCAGAAACAACTTCTTCCAATTTTACCCAATTCTGTATGAGAAGAATTCATGGAGGGTATAGTAGCCCTGGAAAAGTTTGGTGTTTATTGTGTGCTTAAAAATAAAATGTATGCTGATTTTAGTATTCCAAGTCCCCGGAAGCTATTCTTCAAAAAAGGGTGTGATTTGGGGTCTGATTGGGCTTGGAAAATGGATTAGCATTTCAGAATAGGCCATTTTTCTGCTCGTATTGGAAATGACATGTGGCCTTACAGAAGGCAGGAGGCTATTACCCATTTGTTTACGTCTGTGTGAAATGGAGAACAAATCCATGTAGCTGTGGTGAACACACATTTATCTTTTGGCCCAATGCCATACACATGGTAAGCATGTAATTACTAATTGTGATCTGATCTTTTTTATTTGGTAAGATATGTATAAAATACTATTTATGCTTTAACCATTTGTAAGTACAGAGTTCACTGACATTTAAATACAGTCCAATATTGTATAGTCATCACAATTATGTATATCTAAAACTTTTTCATTATCACCAACATAAATTCCTTACCCATTGAACAATAGCTTCTCATTCTACCCTTCCCCCAGGGCCCTGGCAACCACAGTCCTACTTCCTGTCTCTGAATTTGCCTACTAGGTATCTCTTTTTTTTTTTTTTTTTTTTTTTTTTTATTTACGATAGTCATACAGAGAGAGAGAGAGGCAGAGACACAGGCAGAGGGAGAAGCAGGCTCCATGCACCGGGAGCCCGATGTGGAATTCGATCCCAGGTCTCCAGGATCGCGCCCTGGGCCAAAGGCAGGCGCCAAACCGCTGCGCCACCCAGGGATCCCCTACTAGGTATCTCTTATAAGTGAAATCCTACAGTGTTTGTCCTTTGTCTTATTTCATTTAGTATAGTGTTTAAAGGTCCATTTATGTTGTAACATATGCAAAAATTTATTTTTTGGGGGTGGCTGATTATTCCATTGTATGTATATACCACATTTTATTTATGCATCCATTGAGGGATGTTTGGGTTGCTTCCACCTTTTGACTATATTGTGAATACTGCTGTAAACATGGGTTAGTCCCTGCTTACAGTTCTTTAGGATGTATGTATACCTAGGAGTGAATTACTGGGGCATGCGGTAGTACTATGTTTAAGTTTGTGAGGAACCACCAAACTTCTCCACAGCAGCTGCACCATTTTATGTTCCCACCAGCAACGCACAAGGGCTCCAGTTTCTCCACATCCTTGCCAACATTTATTTTCCTTTTTAAAAAATTATAGCCATCCTAGTATGTGTAAAGTGGTATCTTGGGCTGAATTTACAGACTTCCTAATGACATATGGTACTGTGCTTATTGGCCACTTGTGTATCATCTTTGGAGATTTTTATTTAAGTCTACAGCTCTTGACTTTCACAAGTACAAGGACATGTCTATCGGAAGAGCAATTCAAAGCTGAGGACGTGTTGAATTGCGTACAGTTCTCAAAGTCTCCTACATTCCTTCTCTTAAATGGTGTATCAGTTTGGAAAATAAGTTCCTTTCTTAGGAGTTCTGATTCTTTGAAGATTGTGTATATGTGATGCTTGCTGGTATGTTTTTGTCATTTTATGGGTTAACTCTGGAATCTTCAACTCCGCATATCTGAAGCAAGCCTTAGTTACAGGTGAATTTCTGGAATTAGTGAAGTAGAGAAAAAATTTGAAAAAGATGGAAAACCAGTTATTTTTAAAGAATTTTATTTTTTTGATTATTTTTTTTAGAGGAGGGGCTACAGAAGGCGAAGGAGAGAGAATCTTAAATCTTTTTTTTTTTTTTTTTTTTTTTTTTATGATAGTCACAGAGAGAGAGGCAGAGACATAGGCAGAGGGAGAAGCAGGCTCCATGCACCAGGAGCCTGACGTGGGATTCGATCCCGGGTCTCCAGGATGGCGCCCTGGGCCAAAGGCAGGTGCTAAACCGCTGTGCCACCCAGGGAATCCTGGAGAGAGAATCTTAAGCAGAATCGACACCCAGCACAGAGCCCGACTTGGGGCTCAAATTCATGACCCTAAGATCATGACCTGAGCCTAAATCACGAGTCCGATATTTAACCAACTGAGTCACCCAGGTGCCCCAAAGAGAAGAATTTTAAATTTTATTCCACTGTCTGCAGGACACTAGATCAAATAAAACCTTGCCAGTATGTTCCCCAGGCTTCCTGCCTCCCTCCTCCTCAGTTGATATCCCCCTTACTCTTTACCTCTTGCGGTTAGGAGAGGCTTTGCTCTTGTGGAAAAGGCTTTCTACCTTTAATGCTAGAGCCTGGCTTGAGGGCAGTGGTTCAAACTTCTCTAGAGATGAGAGGTAGAGAAAGAAGGTGTAAAATGGGGAAAACAAACTTTATTCCTTTATTTTTCTGCTTGAAACCACACGGAGCATCTGTGGTGTTCCTGGCACAGGTGTTTTGTAACAACCCAAGAGCTTCTGTGCTGTTTCCTCAGCCTGCCCCCCCCTCTTTGCTGGCTCATTCCCAGCTTGGGTGCCTTCTCTGCAGTCTAGCGGGAGTGCTCGGATTGAGCCCAGGTCTTTCCCTATGTGTTGTCACACTCAGCACAGTAGGAGGAGATTGCCAGGGGAGTTTTACAGGGAACACTCATGGCTGCCACCTAGTTTCTATTAATCTTTTTCAACTGTAGCAAACAGTAGAAAACTAGGTTTAGATTTTATTTTTATTTTTAAAGATTTTTACTTACTTATTCATGAGAGACAGAGAGAGAGAGGCAGAGACACAGGCAGAGGGAGCAGCAGGCTCCATGCAGGGAGCCCGATGTGGGACGTGATCCGGGGTCTCCAGGATCACGCCCTGGACTGAAAGCGGTGCTAAACCGCTGAGCCACCCGGGCTGCCCTAGGTTTAGATTTTAATAAACGTCTTAAAACACCGACTTGAAGTTTGTAATAAATGTTTTAAAACTAATTTTGGTATACTAAAGTAGAGCCCAGAATAAGCTAAAATAACCAAGTTGTTTTAATGATCACAATAAATAATTGGAGAAAGAAGCAGACGGGGGGGGGGGGGTCTCTCCCTAGGTCTTCCCTGGAATAATGGAGTGAGTTGCTCAGTTTCAAGGTTGAAATGCCCGTCTGAAAGATCCCATCTGCTCTGCCGTTTTTGATGAGTCTCTGACAGTTGGTGTGAAACTGGCATGTGATCATTTCTGAGTCAGGGTTTGGAAGACGTGCGGGTACAGCTGCATCTACTACTGAAAGCGCGTCTGTTGTCACAGATGAAATGTCTGCAGTTACGAAAGCGTGGTCATAGCTCCACCCTGTGGTGTGCTAGTCCTCGTTAAAGCTGTCTCCGTTCTCTGATCTCCCCGTGGGTCCGCACGCTACACGCCGCATCCTGTGTTTGTAACTCGTCGGAACACAGCCACGTCCTTCCACGTTTGTGCTGTGGCTGCGCTCTTGCTTCGATGGCAGAGTAGACTAACGGTAAGAAAGGCTGGCCTGCAACCAGCACGAGAGAGGCAGGACTGAGTCTCAGTAGCTGCTAGAATTGAGCTTCTTGAGGACAGGAAAGCATCTCATAGTAGGTACTTGTTAAATATTGAGCGAATGAGCAAATTATAAGCAGATGTGTCTGTACCCAATTTAAAAGTCTGAAACGTTTCAAAGAAGTTCTTACGAGATATTTCAGGCACACAAATGTAATTTTAAACCTACCCATGGGGGATCCCTGGGTGGCGCAGCGGTTTGGCACCTGCGTTTGGCCCAGGGCGCGATCCTGGAGACCCGGGATCGAATCCCACATCGGGCTTCCGGTGCATGGAGCCTGCTTCTCCCTCTGCCTGTGTCTCTGCCTCTCTCTCTCTCTCTGTGACTATCATAAATAAATAAAAATTAAAAAAAAAATTTAAACATACCCATGTACCATCCATGTTGCCCAAGAAAGAAAACCTGCATCAGGCAGTTGAAGCCTCTTGTGTGTGGCCCCCTGATTCCATTCACCCACCTCCCCACAGGAATCAGCTATTATCCTGAATTTGATTATTGGCATTGCCATGTACTTATTTTTAACTGATCACTTTAATCCGAGACAATTTTAGATTTACAGAAGAATCGCAGAAGTAGAATTTCAGTATGCTTTTTGTGCTGCTTTCCTTTATGTTTTAACATCTGACATGACCGTAACACCACGATCAAAACTAAGACATTCACATTGGTCATATTAACTAGACTATAGACTTTCTTTGAATCTCATCAGTTTTTTCTGTAATTTCCTTTTTCTGTTTCAGGATCTAGTACACAATGCCAAATTCTGTTAATCGTCAGGTCTCCTTAATCTCTTCCAATTTATGACAATTTCTGAGTCCTTGTTTGTGGTGATATTTTTCTTTGCGAGGATACTGTTATTTTGAAGAAACCCTCAGTTCGCATTTGTCTAGTGTTTTCCCAAGGTTATGCATTATTAGAAAGGACAGCACACAGATCTGCCTCCTCAGTGCACCTTGTCAGGGGGCAGATGATGTCTCTATTTATTACTGGTGATGCTGACGTCGATCACTTCATTAAGGAGGTATCTGCTGGCTTTCTTCACTGTAAAATTACCACTTTCCCCTTGGTAGTAAATATCTGGGTCGGGGGGGGGCAGATACTTTGCAAATGTCATGTTTTTTTTAAACATTTGCCCACTAATTGCCACGTAGCTGTGACTTTTCTGTTTTTCTCATACCTTCTGCATTAATTGGAATTCTGTAAGAGCTGCCTCTTTTCTCTCATTTGTTTATTATGTTACTATAGATTCATGGGTCTTTATTTGGAGGCCATAACCCAGTACTAGTATTTATTTGCTCAGGTTGTTCTAACTTTGCCCATTGGGAACTCTTTCATGTCAGCTCTTAGGCTCTTTCAACATTGTTTTTTGTTTTTGTTTTTTTTTTATCCCTTAATTACTTCCTACCACTGCAAGATGCTCCAAGCTCATCTTCTATTTCCCTGCTCAAGCCCTGGAATGTACCTTTTTTCCAAGGAGCTCTTGTTCCCTTCATGGGATAATGGTATTTAGAAACCAAAATTTTGGTTCGTAGGTATGCTCTTCGCTACTTGGGTGTCCCTGCTGTTAGTCCTTTTCAGAGGATAAAAATAAGAA